TGCATGCGCAGTCACGCGTAACCAAAGCTCTGCGGAAGCCAGCCATCTCGTGCTGATGCTGGAGCTTCTATTCTCAGCTTAAAGGATTGTTCGGTCAAATTACGCTTTCAAGAAAACATTTAGACCTCATTATCAAGGGCTGCAAGAGTATCTTCCACGACAACTTTGAATTTAGAGTGCTTTCCTAGACGAGTAACTGTATTTTGAACCAAGCGCGTTAAACAACGTTTTTTTCTTTTCCACCCTCAGAACAGCGGAGGCTCTGGCGTAACATTGCACAAAGAACGCGCCGAACTGAAACAAACTTCGAATTTTCTCCTCCGCGTGCGCGTTGCGACGTGGTTCACCCTCGTTGCTCCGCTAGAATATTTATTGTGTGCAGTTGTCACGCTCCCCACTTCTCTGCGAGATTTACGGGGGCGAGTAAAATAAAACGCTGCGATGCGTCGGGAGTACTGCGTTCCCACGCAAGAGTGAGGCATAAGATCTGACATTTGCAAGGCCGGTGTGACGTCACATCCTGCATAGGAGCGTAGCCAATGACACTTGCGAAATATGGCATGGAGTTTTGTATACTTATCCCTCATTGATTACACTAAATTCAGGTGTCGTTTAATAGAATCGAAATGGCTTATGCTAATCATTATGATCCTCCATGTAACCATGACAAGATCTTAAGATTTTCCGGTTTTCACCGGACAATCCCTTTAAGGATAGCAGAATATATTTTTAAAATATCAAAACCTCCTGTTACACGTCATGCGTTGCCCGACAAAAAGCAAAGAAATAGTTTTTATAGGACACTAATTAGAAAACTAAGGAGGGTGGGGTATATAACCAGTGTAGAAAGCTGCAGCTTGAGTATTTTCTGGAGAATAATTTATGAAATTACCATTTGTATGCAGTGTACTGACACCGCATCGCCGAATCCCCACATTTCACCTCATGTAGGCCAAAATGGTCCGGGACAAAATTGTCCTGGACAAAATGGTTCCAAGCACAAATGCGGACAAAATGGACCTTATTGAATCGTCTGGATCACGCATCTGGAGCACAGAATTCAGAGGAGCGCCGGCGGCGTGACGACGAGCGCGCATCAGCCTGTTGCAAGCCGCCTCTCGCGTCCGTCTTCGCGCCGCCGGCGCTCTTCTGAAATCTGTGCTCCAGATTTTTCTGCTCAGAAAGGGGCATGCCGCGAATTTGAATCACATCTTTAGTAGTGAAATAGACGTCGCACGTGCATAATTTTTCGATTTCTGGGATGATAAGACCCCGTAGAATGACTTATTACCAAGATTAGACGATCTTAGAAACGTCTTTGGGGCACCTTAAAGTAATCAGCACACCATTCTTTTCTTCTAAATTTGTCCGATTCGCAGCAAGTGAAAACAATCGACTAACAGATGAAGAACAAGAAAATTACGCCTCCAAATTTGCCTACGACCATTTTGTCCGCCTTTGCGCTTGGGATAATTTTGTTCGGGTTCATTTTGACTCGGACCATTTTGTCCGGGACAATCTCGTCCTGCAAAAATTTGTTCGGAACCATTTTGTCCGGATCCCCATTTCACCATTTGTTTGAGAAGCATTGGCTTCGATTCTCGCATTATCCAAAGGAAAAAAAAAAGACGTATTTTCTCTATTTCGGCTAAGTAAGAACCAATTTGGTAACACTCACGCTAAATGTTCGGCATAAATGTGGAACGAGGGCTAGCCCAATGTTGAGAATGAAAATCAAAATGGTTTAAATTGTAATTTAAATTAGACCGGTTTTGCTAGGATGATTTAAATCAAACCCTGACTTCAAAAAAATAATCTACGAAAAATTTGTTTTGTTTTCTAAAATAATTTGTTGCTTTCTATATGACGATATGTTCTTAATTTAAATCAAAGAATTGCGAGACACAAAAGATATATATCGGAGTAATCACGACCAAAAAGCAGTGACCTCTGGAGCAAATCAATGCGTTGAGCTTCTTTTTTTTACCTTCGATATTGTTCTTTAGTTACGTCACATGTTTTGCAATAAAATCAGAACGGAAAATATAAAAACGAAAAATTATATAGTAATGTCTGATTGCTATGAAATCAGATTGCGGAAAAAAAAGCCAATACAACCTTTTCGCTAAGGAAAAAATAAACTGCTTTTGTTCTTGTATGGTGGGATTGACACGTATAAAATTTCTTAAAATTGCGGTAATTAAATTTTCCGCACTGTTTTGACGGCTCGGAAAAATACGTTAAATAACCTGCGGTGTTTAAAAAATGCATATGGTGGTTAATTATCAATATTTTCTAGCAACAATAATATTAGTCTGACCCACAAACAAATAAAAATAAATTGAAATAGTTATTTCTAATTTCTTTTTTTTAAATATTTTGCCCACAACATATCGGCGTGATGTTGAGCGTGGACACTGTGTGACACTGGCAACATAAACGAAGGATGGACCTTTTTAAACATTTTAGTGGTTTCTATTGAAACTACTAGAGCGGTGAAAATTGCTCTTTCGGGTCACAAACTTAGGCGATAAAACTTTGACGTTGATCAACCCCTTCTTTAATTAAGAAAATAGCGAAATATCGCTTTTCGTTGCTCTGTTGCCTCGAGTAGCGCCTACATGAAAGAAGCCTAAATATTTAGCAGCACCACTGCTATTAGATTATAACGACCACTCTACATAGTAATTTAATTTGAGGTTAGGTTTTTTCCTGGTCTGTAAAAAGACTGGTGAGCTTTTCTCCGGACCCGAACAGAAGTGGGAGAGCATTTTTCCGGTGAGCTTATATCCGGCGAGCTTATTACCGGTGAGCTTTAATCCGGTGACCTGTTCTCCGGAGAAATCGCTCTTACTATCACGCAATTGTACTAGACGACCAGCACGCCTGCACAAGCTCACAGTGATCTAAACGGGCCGGGTTTGCGATTACGCGCCATGTGCCGCGAGCTGTGGGAAACTAACACACTCGGCCGCGGATCCCCCCCCCCCCCTTCTTCCCTTTTTCAAACTGCAAACTAATAAGGACTTTCCCTATTCGCTTCCACATTTCTCTGAGAAATTTCTTCAGTATAAGGAGTTTCGGAACCTAAACAAATATGAATATCACGGGGTAGGGATGGGTCGCGCAACAACACACCCTCAAGATTAAAATTTCTAAAGTCAAAGATGATTCGGTTAATAAGCCTTTGTTTCAATGATTTTACCCACAATTCATGAAAGGCCAAAGTTCGTCGATTTTCACGGAATGGCGCCCAATTATGTGTTAAAGTCTCTAATCCCACTTTTTTCTTAGCTGACTACGTTTCTCACAAAACCCTCGTTTTCATGTTTCTATTTGGTCCTAAGAAACATGGCTCATTGATGTGTTGTCCGATGCTGACCTTACTGCAAATATGCTACTAAATAATAACACGCAAGGCTGATTTAAATACATTTGCACCACCTGTGTAAAATGTATATAACTTTATTTAACTAAGTCTCACACGTGTGATTTGAGTGATGGGACATTCTAATTTACGAGAAAGAGGCAGGTAGATAGCAAAATTAATCTTATATAAATATAGGCGGAAAAAAGTCTCAGCTGTTACAGCTAAAACAAACACAGTCCCCGTTATCAATTTGAAGCTAAGTTTTGTTCGACTGCGGGAAAAATAAAGTTAATTTGTGTGGCCTTTTTTTTTTATTCAGTAAAAAGGGCAAAATATTATCCGAAATATTCTCCCTGGCCAATATTGTTTAATCAATTTCTTCAGGGTCCCCATGCGGTGTTCGGACGTTGCAGGTGGGAAGTCATATTATAGTGCCTTTCCGCATGCGATATTGTGGTATTTCTCTTCAGCTTTGAATAGAGGGGATGGTTTGCTTGAAGCAAAGCCTTGCTTTAAATGAAAGCTTTGGTTCACCTGAAGCAAGATATCGTTTTCACAAAGCCGCACGTTTGTAATGCTTGTAATGCTAATAAACAGTATTTTGTAATAATTTGACTTAGTCTAGAACAATTTATTACAGGTATATGTGCTCTAGCGATCCAAAAGAAAAGAAAAAGAAAGACTGGAACGAGAGGAACGCTTCAGAGAGACACATCTATGTTAGCTTCCTGTAAATAAAGTAAATAAATTAGGTGAATGTTAATTGTTTCTTCCTACAGGCATATCAATATGAAATCAGACACCTGCTCTGTCTAAATATATATTGAAATTGCACCGTTTCACACTGAAATTGCACCAAAATCAAGTCTCCAGTACCTGTAATTTGAGTGTTAATAAAATTTGCTGTCAACTCAAAATTAAGTTTAGTATCTGAAACTGTTTTTGAACATAGTGACTTCTCCAATGTCGCTTGGAGCATTGTTTCATGCAATACGTGCAAACAATACTAAAAAAACTGTATATTTTTTATATTTGTAACCTGGACTGAACACAACCATTCCGGCGTCAAATGTCCTAAAACAATAAAAATAAAAGGGTTGTTAAAAAAGATTAACAAAAGCGTTCTTGAAGTGACGCAGGGCCTAGGAGACTAGACCGTGCTAAGCTTCTTGAACCTGGAGATCGGAATCCAAGCAACAAGGCGCTTTGTTATTTTATATTTCAAACTAAACGCTTCGCACCTGTATGATATATAGCCTCAGAAACAACTTTGTCGTATAGAACCGTTATATGGCAATTCACAATATAATAATAAAATGTCGGGTGAAACAAACCAATACGTACTACGTCATCAAGGTGAACCCTCCAAACTTCTCGTCACGTATGACGCACTACCTACAATTCATAGTAGACGAAACAATGTATTTTCCCCTTTCACAAACACACCGCGAGGTATTGCTAACAATGTTTTCCATTTCTAACTAACATTGACAACAATGGGCGTGGGCGGAGTTGCTATGTCTCGAATAAAGTAAAACAAAATTTAAGATATGGACTTTCTTCACTGGCGGACTGGTATATAAGAACATCCCCCTCCAGACAACAGCATCGTCGACATCTATCCTCCAAGATGAAGGCAAACATTGCAGTTCTTTGCTTTCTCGTCGCACTAGCGTACGCCATTGTGGTCGAGGCGCAGATGGGTAAGCGTGCCTTTTCATGACTTTTTCGTAATATTTCTTCTGATAAAATGCCTTACCTCGGAGTTAAGAGCAATTCTAGCTATTATTTACTGAAAAGCAGTTGTTGCCACACAAGCAGTAACGCACACGGCAATTTACTAAAACATTGTCTACAGAAAAAAGTTCTAACTTTTAAATCTTGATGATGCATCCTGGCGCTGAAAAGAAACAATAATACTGTATCACAGTAAAAGGCCCTAGGTTTTGAACTGTCACTGAGCGCTTTATTTGTAGCCTTTTTTGTGATCTGCCCCAGTTCACCAAAGAAACGTAAAGAAACAGTACATGATGCAGCTACGAGCATCTTAGGAGGTAAATTGCTAATATGGGATATAGTGAACCGTTAAATAATATATATGCATGGCGGTACACAGCTTAATCCGTCTAGGGGACTGTTTTTGACTTACGGGCAGAGGCTTGTGTTTTGCTGGCCCGCTAATACTGCCAATAAAGTTGATTTGTTTTGTTTTTTAAATAATTTAATGGCCCTTTAGAAAATAAATTATATATTTTGTTTCCTCCATTAGAGCCGTTTTACATTGCAGTGATTAGGTGGCAGGAGACGCAAAACAGCTGGTTTTAAAAATATCCGAGGGGAACTGTGCGGATATTAATATAGGTCAGCTCAAATACTGCACCACAAAACAAAGCAAAAAGACTCACCCCGACACGCCTGTTCAATTTACATTGAAACATCGCTACTACATTTTTGTTTCTTATGTCTTAATATAACTCTTCTGGGGTTACCCCATATAGCAAATATATAATCAAAAGCAAATTCTTCGACTCCAACTCGGGACGACAGTAACATGTTGTGGGTTATTCAATAAATGTCCTGAGCGAAACGGACTAAACTTTGCGGAAAAATAATGCAATCGGGCGCTGAATTGAAAGATACGGTTGTGTATTACAGTTAAAAAAGTTAGGTTCTGAACAGTCATTCAGCGCTTTAATTGTAGCTTTTTGTGTTAAATCCGCATTTGAAAATAAATTATGTGTTTGGTGTCCTCCAGCAAAGGTGCTTCACGTGGCGATTTGACGAGAATCGCCAAAGAGCCTGCTTTAATAATACTTGACCGGAACCGTGCGAATATTCATGAAGGTCAGCGCAAAAACGGGACCCCAAAGAAAACAAGATTATTGTTCGCAATAATATTTTTTAGGGTAGCCAATCAGAAGACATGAAAGCATTGCCCTAGTTTTGAATTTTAAATGATTGTTCTTATTAAAGGTGTTAAAATAACTACATTGCAATATACAAACCGAGAGTAATGAAACTTTAAAACAATTACGTTGTCTTTCATTGTGATACCAAGGAAACTGTTTTATTTCTGTGAAGAAACTTATAAGAGGAACTGTCTGAAATGATGGAACAGGAAGAACGAAGCATCGCCGCCCCGTAGAGCGATCTGCTGTGACACACTCTCATAAGTATCTGTAGTTTTGTCCAGTGTGTCTGCCATGATTCTCAAACATTTGGGTGCCTCACATTTGCTACCTACTCGTCCGGCCTTGCAGTCGAAGTGAATACACTATCACAGCCCTAATACAAAGGCATTTTTAAATACACAACTTGGCTCCATATATTTGTGTGGCAGATCTTCTGCAACCAAGATCTTTTTTTTTCTTTTTTATTTGTTTTTAATGTCGCCTAGAGGAAAGAGATGAAGTCGTAAAAAAACGACCTCTGAAACGTTGAGAATTTCTGTTTTTGGTGCGCTTTATTATGCATGAAAATGTATCCACAGATTTAAACTGTCAATTTTTAAACGCTTAAAAGCACTTCATAGTTCATATATTTAGCATTCTTCGTGGTGCACGTCTCTCGCGCTGAGCAACATCAGTGTGTGTGCCCGTTAATAAAAAAAGAGAATTATACGGATGCAAAAAGGACCGAAAATTAGGGCCCTATAAAAAAGATGTAAAGCCCCCTCACAATTGTTTTTTATACGCTCACTCGTATTTTTTTTCTTATCCGCTGTAATCGAGCTTAAAGAGGGCAATAGATGCGACCCGAACGAGATCCTGCTCCAACAAGTCAAGCAGTATTTTATTATGAGACCTGACTCGATCTGGCACTGATGCGTTCATTCTATCTTAGTACAGGCTGAACGCTGACGCAGTGTTCATGTCCAGTCCGTAAGCCACACGCGACGGCTTTAACCCGGGAAGATTACCAGAACTATGTCAAGAGTGTGGCCATATTAAGCTACAGCCTGAAAAAGAAAGGACAGAAAAAAAAAAACACGCTTGCGCCCGTGAAAAGTCCGTGGATTAAAAACGCTCTCAGTAGATAAGTAGCGTTTTGAGATAGAATAAATAGGTCATGGTGTACGGTGGGAATCTGCTGTGGTACAAAATAGCATGGAACATAATTTCACGCCCCTTTTATACAAGAAATAAAACTGCCTTGAGTAAAAATACGTGCTCTATGTCAAAAATAAAAATATTTCAACTTTAGCAGTAGAACGGACGCAAGTGAGCACACCTTTAATTCGCTTTTAGTGACTAAGCGTGTTGCAAACATAATCACTGGTGCCTATGAATTTCTTATACCGAACACAACATGACGTCAAAGCTGTATATTTCTGGCTCCTCGAGGTCGCTGTTATTAAACTTTTTTTCTCGTTTCAACCTATTGTAAACTACAGCCGAGTATCCAAGGGCCAGCGGATAATCTCGGTACGGCTCCTGCCACACGAACATTCGCGCAGGTTGTCAGCATTATCGAGCGAAGAAGTGAACCGTATCATACAGCCGGAGGATGTGGCGTAATGCGACGAAAAAAACATATTTGGGCGCATTGCTGCCAATAGTAAAACTGAGGCCTGAATTCGATAACCGAACACCAACTTTTCTGTGCAGAAAAATCTAAACGTCTTTGAGACCTATTTTTCTTGTTTTATTTGTGCAGGGCCCCCCATTGACGATGACGCTCTGAATCCAAATTGCGAAAGGCCGCCCCCTGAATGTCTTGGAGAATCATTTACTGTTTACGTTTACAACAGTACAAAGGGATGTTATCCAGTTGGGCTTAAGGAAGATTGTCGCAGGGTTGGGTATTACACGACTTTAGGCGAATGCCAACAAAAGTGTTTACCTGCACCTGGTAAGTCGAGATGCAAGCAGTCATGGGCCTAACGTACCGCATCGTTTTTGGCAACAATGACTAAACATTTCTTACGTCTACTAGCAGAGATGATATAACCTTCTATTGGTGTTTGAAATAAAAAACTACTGAGTTGACGGGGCTATGTCAGCTACACCCATTTCGATGAAGTTACGAATAGTAGAGCTCTTAGACCGACCTATTCACTACAAACTTGTTTATTCAGGTCAGCACAATTAATGTTACGACTCACAGCTCTGTTGTGAAAGGGAGGACTGAAGTCTGTTTTTATTGCTACCCGTTATTTGCTCTGGAACGCTGTGGTGCTCCTTTCTGCGTATCAGAAACAACGGTATCGGTGGCTATGAAAGAATAACATACACGAATCTGCACCACTTACTTCAATCTCACAATTAATTTAGGGGGCCCCACATCTAAGTTACTCAATTTTATGCAGACATTCTTCAAACAAATATTACTGGCGTAAAAATCAAACCCGACAATACAGATGGTGCATATGGAAACGCGGGCAAATCGCTCCTGCGAAAGCTGCGTATCGCAGTCAAAAAAGTTGATGCCCTAACCGGTCTATGTCAAAGACCCATTAGAAAAACTGACTAGCGTTTAATATACTAGTTGGGTAATAATTAATTTTGGATCATTATGTTGTCAATCATCGATTTTAGAGGTGATTGTTTCAGTTAAAATCTTGCTGGGCGTCAACCAAACCTAATAAATATACCTACATTACAATGATATGAGGCATGCGCAGCATCTTATGGTGTTGCGAAAAAAAAAGCTCAAGTTGGACGCGTTTGTGGGTTTCAGTTTCTTATCGGAGGTGCGTCTTCACGCTGGCACCGGCGTCAGAAAGGCAAACCTTACGTGTCAGTCCGGAGGCTTTCCTATCTGGCCGCTTCTACGGCGATGCGTGGCGCCGCACGCACGTTGAGCGTTTTAGACACGGGGGCGGGATTGCCCGCGCGTAGATGCGCTTCGATAAGTAACCGAAACCCACAAACGCGACCAGATTGAGCATTTCTTCGGAACGCCGTAAAATGCTGCGCGTGCCTTATATCATGGTAACGTGTGTGTATTTTTAGTAGTTTTCGGTGATGCCAAGTCATATTCCAATCGAAACCACGCCTTTAAAATGAATAATTAACAATTTATTTACTCGAAATTATTTTATTAACCAAGTATATTGAGCGCTAATAATTTTCCTTCTTGGGAACTTTTACACAGACCACTACGGCATCAACCTTTTTTTGGGTGCAACGAGTGGTTTTCGCAGGCGCGATTTTTCCCGCGTTTCCGGAAACACCCTCTACATCTGGTGTTAAACTCAGGAACTAAATGAAAATAATATTCAAAGAAGTGATAAAAAGAAAAAAAAAATCTTAAATGTACTATTGTACGACCCAATCTATCGGTGTAATAAGCGTAATAAATCTGTACTTGTCACCTTGAGGCAGGAAAACTGCCAGTGAGTGATGCCCAGTTAGATGCGTCAAAGGATCAAATAACTCCAATTTCCAAGAGCACTTGATCATTTCTACCTCCGGCGGAATTGTTCCATATTCTCTTTTAATTATCGCACGTGGAAAGTTTTTTTTTTTTTTTTAATCGTTTCTTTTTAGACAACTTTGCAATTGTTACGAAAGCCGAACGTCCTCTTTCCTTTTTTAGCGTTAATGCAATTTCAAGCTTTTGTCCAGATTTCTCAAATATATAAATTTAAAAGCGCCATTAATGCGTCAACAAATCGGATTTCTTTATTCATTTCATTGTTTTTATCGAACAAACACTTGAAATGGTTTCGTTCAGCTCAGGTTACGCTGCACTACCAGGAACGCCTCTCCAAATTATGTGCTTCTCGACACCCTCTCCTCCACATAGATCGGGGATTTCCCAATACAGCAACGCTGCGCATCATAATTTGTAAATAGCATGAACTAGCAAGCGTGACTGGGAACATATAAAGGATAGAATATTCTACCTTCTTTTGTTTTACCTTATAACGACGCTGCAAACCGATGAGGCCAATAACGAAATGCCGAAAGCGCAAGGTCACGCCGATTTTAATATTGCTAGAAGAACGCTATCATCGGATAAGCCACTGTTTGGCTGGCTTGAAGACGCTCACGCGTAGGGTCCCTTTCCTTACTTCCTAGCCTTGTGAGACACCCAGTGCATCTTGCTTCGCATATAAAGTTTATTATTATTAGCAATATTATTAATACTACAAGTTTCAATAGTACAAGTCTGAACTCGCCGAGACCTTACGCGTCTGTTCCTGTTTGTGTCCAGTACTTTACTTTCATCGCGAATAGACTTAGGGTGCAGCGAGGTAGAGTTCATTCAGCTCACTTCGCTGCTATACATCGACACTGTGTCTCAAATACAGGCACCGGCATGCTATCCGCGCCAATTTTTAAAATGCTAGTCCCACAAAATTTTGAAATCGTTGCCCTTATCCTTCGGCAATTTTTGGCAGTCCACGATTCTCCATACAGTGAGAGTGCACGATCAAGATCAATTAGACTGCAGTCATGTTTATCACTACAATGGTAGCAGTGTCCCTTAAACCACTTAAGCTTACACTTTAGCAAGAACCCAAATGCTAAGCTATTAAAAGCGTTGGTTTGAGGAGCAATGTTTTGTGTGTTTTGTAGTCATGCCAATAAGCAACGTTTGATTTCTGCACACCACCTGCGTTGGTGTAGAAGCGACATACTTGGTAATACCACGCTATACGAAACCTAGCTGTGAACATTCTGTACTGGATTATGCGGGTGCGAGTGACTACAACACGTCTAATATTCTAAAGAGTCTCTAGTCATAACCAACATTAATCTTTCAGGGAGACAAGGTGTCCGCGGCATCTGATTCTGTAGACGATGCCTGCAGTTGCAGCCGGAAGACACTTCAGAGAAGGCACTTAGACTAAATAAAGTCTTGCATCGAAAAAACACACATGGTGCTGTTGTATTTTTTTTTCCGCTTGTGACCTGGAGCGCATAGATCGCTTTCATTTCATTCATGTGCTCTTGTTTAAGACGCCTCTAATGTGCGCAGCAGCTTGGTATATTGCACAAAATTCAACACCTGCCAGATTGACTTGTCATTAAAAAAATTTCACTTGGCTCCTAGACTCACTTCTCACTTAAACCCTTGCAAGGGCGACCCCCCTCCAACCCCGTTCCCCTCCCCCCCCCCAAAAAAAAAAAAAAAAAAAATCTTTCCACAGAATAAAAATGACGCGAAATAAGAGACGTCATAAAGACATTGTTTTAATAGGTTCGTAACGGAATGGAATTTATTTAAATAGTTGAAACCAGAGTGAAATGATGATTTCTGGTAGGATATAAAGTAAATCATATTTATCTTATAAACTCTGTACGATCACTGAATATACTGTAGAAGTAATAATTACTGCAAATTTCAAGCTTTAAAGTACAGCTCAATTAGGAACTTTTAGTCGTGCAAACCAGTGCGATGTAGAAGTTATATGAAAGCAGCTTGATTGTATGGTACAAAATATTGATTCGATTTATTTTTTTTGTCGTGATTTTCTGGTAATAGGATTCCTTTTTTTTTCTTTTTTTTTTCTTTTTCCGCGTTCTAGTTTTGCCGGCGCTAGGACATTATGTAACTGGCAAATAAATTGGGAGTTAAATAAATATGAGCGCTGTAACTTGCTCGAAGAGCATACAGCAATATGTTTGTACTCAGTGTGTTATAAATATTTTTATAATGGTCTTTGAGTTTCTACAAAATGTATGCACATTTTGTATACAGGAAAGGAGCAGACGCGGTTGTGCCCGCGTCTGCTCCTTTCGGCGCCGTGGAACTTGGCGGCGCCCGAGGGATCTATATCGTCGGCGGCCGCAACCTCGGCAGTAGCGAAACGTGGCCGCACGCCAGTACACTGCATTCTAACTAAGAGAGCAGAAGAACGACATTCATGCTTTCGCATTCGCAATTTATAAGTGATTAAATGTCCTGAAATTGTTTTTATTAAAAATACTTTTTTATTTGGCGAGCACTTGTGGGTTATTGATCGTTCCATATTCACTTTTATAATAAAATATTTAAATGGCTTGCGTATACAGAAAAAGATTGGGTCGTCACCATGCGCGAATCGCAAACACCACTTTGGGCCCGTCGCAAGCGCACTGATACAGCCGCTGTTTCTTTCTATAGGCGAAGATTTTGGTTACGCTAATATGAAACTCTCTAATGTGCGATATCGGCGCTCTAGAGCCTCTTGATAGAGCTCTTTAGAATGAAAACTGTGATGAGCTCACAATGAGAATTGATTTGTTAAATATTCGAAGGCGAACAACCAATCGGTAACATTTACGCAACCGGTAAGGTAAAACACATGTGATATGTTGAGACCTAAAGAAATAAGAAAAATTTTGTGTCTCTAGTCCGCTCCCGCTTTCGCACCGCAGACTTAAAGCCAATTTAAAATAAAATGAACTGGATCCTTGGATCAAGTGGAAATTTCTTGGAAATTCCAATTGCAAATTAATGGGCAATAAAGGAAACCATCAACCTGTACAGCCAGTGGAGCGGCCCAGGGAAAGCCAGCCGGTACTATAAGCACCACCGATGCCCGACTCACTGTCCGACTCCGCTACTAAGACACGAGTGCGTCTCACAGCGGGTCCGACGGTCACTGTATGGCAACCATGAACCACACAGCCCCGTCGCAGCCATCACTTTTATATCCCTGGGCTTCCCTGGAGACAAGGTAAAACACAGCGACAGCTGAGGTGTGACGTTGGAGCCTCTTAGACGTCATTTCGGAGGAGATAGACTTAATCATGAGCGAAAAGTAATAGCTCAGACGTATCTACACAAGGCACGGTATCATTTATTAAAATCAGGAACAACAAAGGGCCCAGGGCTAATCCCTGAGGAACACCGGAAATTAAAAAAAAAAAGTTCGGAGAATGTAATTAACGCGAACAGTGTTAGAGCGCAACGAAAGATTGCTGTCAAACCATTCATACAGCTCATG